AAAGCCACTACTGCTGCATCTACAGTGCAGCTAATCCCCAGGTGACCCTGCTCCTTCTCTCCCTCAAAAACCCCCCCAAATCAAATTAGCGAAACATTTTGTACCGGCAAGCAGAACTCCTCGAAGGCGGGCTTTACAAATGTGGTGTACTGTGTGAGGATCTGCTCAAGGTCCCTCCCACGTTTCATATCTCGCAGAACTGGGACACTACTGCTGCATCTACAGTGCAGCTAATCCCCAGGTGACCCTGCTCCTTCTCTCCCTCAAAAACCCCCCCAAATCAAATTAGCGAAACATTTTGTACCGGCAAGCAGAACTCCTCGAAGGCGGGCTTTACAAATGTGGTGTACTGTGTGAGGATCTGCTCAAGGTCCCTCCCACGTTTCATATCTCGCAGAACTGGGACAGGAAGACAAAGCCAGTAAGTCTTATCCATCCTCTGCCACGTGGTAAGAACACGAGACGGTTGATGCTGCCCATGACGGCACAGCATTACCTCTGCGGGACAGTCGGACGTCAGAATCCGTGTCGACAAAGAGACGGAGATGGAACATATCCCGAATGTCTTGATTGTAGAAAACCAGGATCCCCTCAAAGAGGACAACGTCAGCGGGATAGACCACTGTTGTCTCTGCCAGCCTGCCAGTAAAAAAAACCACATTCAACAATGTGCTCTGGGTATCTCACACCAGAGGCCAGCAGCCCATGCGCAGGCTCAGCTGGGGACATCCACAAGCCAAAACTTCACACAACACTGAAACCTACCTAGAATGGGTCACAAAGTCGTACGTTGGTACCTCGACCGTTTTCCCCTCAACAATACTTTTCAGGGTTGTATGCATCAAATCATTATCAAAAGCATCTGCAAGGGGAAGGTTTTAAGAGGAAGATGTTCAGATGCTGCTATATCAAGTGTTCTGCTCAGATTTTTTTTAAGACCTCAAGGAAAATCTCTCTGCCTGGTAGTACAGCAGGAAAGGAGGAACCTATGCTTTATTTTTTCCTACCAGCAGCAATCCAATGCTCCCCACCCAAATTAGAACTGCTATACTTGGTTACAGAGATAAAGAGAGAATTTGCTGTTGATGAGCAACTACAATACAATGAAATTAAGAATTCAAATGTGAAGTTAGTAATTATATAATTTTACAAAACTACTTGGTAATTGTATGATTTTGTGCAACTCTTAGTCTGTTAACTAAGAGTAATTTAGAAAACCTCAAACATCTTTAATGCTTTTCAAAAGCATTATGTGCCCTGGTGAGCCTACAGCAGGCTCTAGACTTCAGCCAAGGGCAGATCGCTGTCCCATTTGCAGTCCATAACACTACCCCAAGCAAGGGGAGCAGCTGTTTATGTGTGCAAGAAATATCAGGAAAGGATTTGGGGAACAACATAGTTTATTACAGAGCCTCTGAGCAGCTGAGAACGAGACAGAGCACCGTGCAAGCCAGGATGCTCTCTAACTGTCCAGCATCGCTCTGCAAAGGTGCAGTAAACCAGCAGTTACCCGCAGCAGCGCAGCTTTCACGATAGCAATGTGTACACACGGAAGACAAACACCTTTTGGTGGGGGAAAGAGCATTTCCGTTACCCAATACCTCTCATTTTCTCCAAGCCCACTCAGGAAACCCCAGCTGGTCTCCAACGCTAACTGAACCATGCCAAAGGCAGGAAAAAGGCTGCAGGGCTTCAGCCACAGCATTGCAGCGAGCAGCCTCACCCGGGTGGTCGAAGTTGTACTGCCCCTTCAGCGCCTTGGCCTTCTGCTCGGCGGTCAGCACTTTGTAGAAGCTGTCCTGGCTGAGGATGAGGACCTTGCGCTGCCGGCGGTCCACCTCGTTCTGCCCCAGCAGCTCCATGATCTTCTCGCAGACTGTGGACTGAGCGGGGGGAGAGCGGGGGCTCAGGCA